GGCCACCACTTGGTTCTCACCCTGCCTCTCTCAACTGGAAGCCCGCAGGGCCTCGGCCCCACCCCGCCCAGCCCTCACCAAAGATCCCTGGGAGTCGGTTGGCCTGCGGCAGCTCGTTGGTTTTCTTCGGCTGCCTCCTCCTCAGTGGCCTCACTGCCCGAGGGGTGCGGATGGGACTCGGACTGGCCATGAAGAAAGTAACCACGAAAGGCTGTCGGGAGCGCGGGGCCCGTTGACCCAGCAGGCCGGCCAGACCAGGATCCACGCTGTGCCCTGCGACAGAAAGGAGAGAGGGGTCACTCGCGGGCAGTGGCCCTGCAGCGGACACAGCAGGGATCTCTCTGCCGGGGCCTGGGCAGGTCCAGGAGCGTGAAGGCTGAGGACCCGAGGGTCCCTGCTGAGCCTCAGTTTCCACATCTGAAGCCTGGAGTCCTTGGTCCAGCCCCGGCCAGTCCACATCTCTCAAGTTTAAAGATTTTTCCCATGGATCACCTCATTGGGTCCTTAGAGTAATCCTGCAGCTCCTTCTTCACAGGAGACGCAGAGTCCTACTGCCAGTGACTTCGAGAACCAGCGCTCCCACCTCAGTCCAAGGACCCCGAGGCCTGTGTTCTGTCTTCCATCCCGCACTTTCTGGGGTGTGAATGTCAAATTTATCACCGAGACAGCTTGTAGCAGCATCTGCCAAGTTTAGCGAGTGCTTCTCTGCTGGGCACAGCCCAAGAGCAGGGCATTAACTGTCTCCCTGATGCCCATAAGGGAGACGCCAGGCAGAGCAGAGACATTGGAACCAAGTCCCAGAGCCCAGGTTTCAGCCTGCGGCAGTCCCATTCCAGACCCCAAGTTCTTATGCACGAGCTGGGTTTATGGAGAAAATAGAAAAGGCTGAAGCAGAGATCTGACTTGGGCCTCAGCCCCAGGAGGAGTGAAGCCTGTAAACAGGGGATTGTCCCCCACAGCCGCTTCCAGACTGAGGATGCTGCTAAAACACATGATAACTAGCCCTTCACCAATAAAACTGCATCCTCCTGTACTTGTTTGGATTTCAATAACCTTTCTACTGTAAAAGCAGTTAACCACGATAAAGTATTGAGAAAAAAATACCATTTTAAAGCCCTTCCAACTCCCATACATTTTCATTTTTCTGGGCTATTCTGTCAGTTTAAGTTTTACACAGTTGTCAGCCCAGCAAAGACGTCCTCATTTTTTTTTTTCAGCTTTCAAGTCGCCAGGTATGGTGGCTCACACCTGGAATCCCAGCACTTTGGGAAGCTGAGGCTGGAGGATGGCTTCAGCACCGGAGTTCGAAGCCCTGGAGCTCGTCATCAGATAACGCAGGTTATTTCCTGCTTTTCACGATAAAGATGGGAGTGCAATGGAGCCTCTTCACTCTGTGCATGGGTGAAATTTCCTGATACTGATTTGCAGAAGCATGATTACCAGTTCATTTTCTTGTCTCTTTAAACATTGCCAGTTCTTCAGTTTACACAAAAGCACATTTCACCTCTACTTTACAAGCACAGATGTACACATGTATGTACACACATGCATATATGTGGGTCTGTATAAACACGCAGAGGCACATACGCTTAGACACTACACATACAGATGTATTTATTCCTACATACTTCTCCAGTACACCCTGCAGGTCAAGGACAATGCCTGCCCCACCCTTAGTCCCACTCAAAGGTCAGCCCTTAAGCAGCTGTGCCTCAGTCCCGGTGTCCACTGGCCAGTTGATTGAACAACCAGTGAATCCAGAGACCAACCTTTGACCTGTGATGTCATCTGCCACAAACAGGAGCGTGGACAAGAGCTGCTGAGACAGGGAGGCTGTGAGCTGCAGGCACTGACAGCAAGGAGGCCCAGAGAGAAGCCACTGGGCAGAGCTTGGTTCACGGTGAGTCAAGGTTATGGGGAAGCAGCAGAAATACAAGGACCAGAGCCAGGGTGCAGAGGAAAAGGCAAGACAGGTCACAACGAGGAGAGAACAGAGCAGCCTGTGTGGGGTGGTGAGGGTCACCAGCCCGGGCACTGGAGTGTCACTCTGCGGACTGGCTGACACATGGGGACGACCTGGGGCCCAGGGCAGCCCTCCAGGCTGCATGTGTGGCTCTGTCCTGCGATTCCCTGGGGAGCCTTGGCAGCGTTGGGGCCAGAGGGGCCATCAGTCCTGCATGCTTTGCTCACTGTTTGCTTCTGTGCAGCTGTGTTCAGGGGTCTTACGGGGGTCTCCCAGACACAGGATAGAATGTCACATTAGATCAGTTACACCACAGACCCTCACAGAGCCCCTCTGAGCCAGGCCTCGCTTGGGTGCTGGGAACCCCTCTGTAGGTCTCACAGGCCAGGTGAGCCTGACTGGGGACTCTTGAAGTAGCTAATCCCAGGTTCCCATTTTACATTAGCAGAAACTAAGGCCCAGAGAGAGCAGCAACTGTTCAGGGTCCCAGACCAAGGTGGGTTAGAGCCAGGATTATCATATACTTTCCAAGCAAATTGCAGGGGCCTGGCTGGGTGTGGCTCGGGGAGATGGGGGTGGCAAAAGGGGACTAACAGCAGGTCTAGGTTCAGAGCCCTGCATCTGGCAGGCCTGGAGAAGCTCCCCCACCCTACTCCTCTCCTTCCTTTTAGTGCTTGAGGAACACAGTGAGGAGCTGATCTGTTTTCCTGTTGTTTTTAATTAAAGTCGCAGCTCTCTGGAGGAGCACAGTCCACCTAGGGAGGAAAGTTGGAGGCCAGCAGCACACGCCTCCCAGCGCTGGGTAAATGCATTCCTGCCCTAACCGACGTCCCCTGGGGAACCCGGTGGGACCCCCTGAGGAGTGCACCCCCCCCAGATCCGGGTCCCATCAGGGTGCCACATGCTGCATGGGCCTGAGGTTCGGGGACACAGCAAAGGCACACCCAGTGCTCTTTTTGACGTAGTCCAGGTCAGGCCCTCCCAGAGCTCCGTCAGCGTCAACCCTCTCTTCCTGTGCACGTCAAACACGGCCTTCTCGGTGATGATGCGGTCCACGCACTGCTTCCCAGTCAGTGGCATGGTGCATTTCTCCATGATCTTAGGGATGTTGTCCTTTGTGCAGTGCTCCATGGTGACCACCACTCTGGTCTTCGGACTGGACACCAAGTCCATGGCACCGCCCATGCCTTTCACCTTCTTGCCAGGGATCATCCAGTTCGCCAGGTCGCCGTATCTGGAAACCTGCATGGCTCCGAGCATGGTTAGGTGGAGGTGTCCCCCTTGGATCATGGCGAATGAGTCGTCGCTGGCGAAGAAGCAGCCCCCGGGAAGCACCGTGACGGTCTGTTTGCCTGCATTGATGAGGTCGGCATCCTTCCGTGGGAAACGGGCCCAGGCCCAGGATTCCGTTCTCGCTGTGAAGATGCACGGTCATGCTGGGGCTGATGAAGTTGCTGGCCAGCAGGGGGATGCCTATGCCCAGATTGACGTACATGCCGTCCTCAAATTCCAGAGCTGCGCGTCTGATGATGCGCGTCCTGACTTCCTTTCTTTTCGCCGTCTCCATCTTCCTCTTTCCTGATGTCAAGCGCTCAATTCGTTTCTCGTATTTCTACCCCTTTATCACACGATCTACATAAATGTTTGGAACGTGGATGTCTTCTGGGGGAAAAGTCCCCACGTCCACGATCTCTTCCACCTCCACCGCCGTGACGTCTGCAGCTTTGCACATGGGCACGTTGAAACTGCGGGCGCTCCCCCTGAAGACCACGTTTCCTGCCCGGTCGGCCTTCCACCCTTTCACCAGGGCGAAGTCCGCCCGGATGGCGCGCTCCAAAAGGAAGTGGTCGCCTTGGAACTCCCTCACCTCTCGGGGCTGGCTCATGATAGCCAGGTGGCCGTCCGGGGTATAGCGGATGGGGACGCCCCCTTCCTGGACCAGGGTCCCGTAGCCCGTGGGGGTGTAGAAGGCGGGTACCCCGGCGCCCCCCGCGCGGATGCGCTCAGCCAGGGTGCCCTGGGGCGTGAGCTCCAGCTCCAGCTCTCCTGCCAGGTACTGGCTCTCGCACAGCGTGTTCTCGCCCACGTAGGAACAGACGATGCGGCGGACCTGCCTGGAGGCCATCAGGAGGCCCAGGCCGAAGTCCTCCACGCCCACGTTGCTGCTGACCACCTGCAAGTCCTTCACGCCGGTCCTGAGCAGCGCGGCGATCAGGTTCTCGGGGATCCCGCAGAGCCCGAAGGCCCCGACCGTGATGGTCGCCCCGTCAGAGATGTCCTTCACCATCTCCACCGGGTCCGTGTG